ATACAGGTCAAGCACGCACACACATAAATAAAAATGAATAAATCTAATATAAGAGGCTTTTCTTCAGTTATAGTCTCCAAAAATCAATGAATAAATTAAAAAGTAGATTTAATTAGCCTTGCTCAGAGTTCACTTTTTAAAAGCCAGTGCTTCTCAAAATATTTGTGGAGAAAGAACTGTTTTTAAACATAGTCTATTGGCTGCAGACTAAAACTCTTCTGAAATACAATAAAGGGTCTAGACTGACACTCTCTGTACTTCATCTGTCACAGGTCCATAACTGCCCAGACCCATCTACACCTCCCGTGCCCCCAGTGCAGGGATGAGGTGTGTCCCTACCTTCTGCTCTTGGACCTCAAACACCGCTTCGTGGACACTGCAAGCAAAAAGTGAGGTGGGCAGGTCACTCAAATCCATCATCTCTTCTAAATCATCTTCATTTTCACCAAAAACCATCTCTTCTTCCTCCTCCTGGTCACTGCTACAGAGATCCGACTGGCTATCATTCCAAGATTTCACAGTGTCCCTCAGCATGTTCTCTGAAGAGCAGGTCTCCTCCGTAGATAGAGTTCTAGGGTAGGGTGTCTACCAGGCACCTACTGCTAAAAAAAAGAAGACAGCAGAGAGAAATGTTGGAGGTCATGTAATGATGCAATCCATTTCTCAAGACAGCAATTCATCAAGTGATGTGACTTTATCCAGGAAGATCAATCAGCATTTAAATCAACTCCCTCCAGTCCTCATAAGTGGGTTTTCTATCTATGAATTTGATTTGCTTAGCAGATTTTACAGGGCAATAAAATATGAAGGAAAAGCACCAGCTTTCTAGTGAAGTGGGATGGAAGGTAATATGAAGACGGGATCGTATCCACATGTACATGAGTTTACAAGCAGCGAGAGGACCGTGGGAGTCAGAGAGGCCTTCGCATATTTGTTTTGGGTTTTTGGTGGAAACACTGGAACTGGCCCAGCAGAATCACACCCACACGATCTGCTCACCATCTGCCCCTGAAATACGGTCTATGAGGCGCTGGCTCTGCCATCCTTACCCAGTGTGTTCTTTCCAAGCAGACTCTCAAAGAATGAAATTGCCCATGACAAGTTCTCTATAAGCCAGTGTTTATGAATACGTATCAAAAATATTTGCAGTATGCAAAATCTAACATGGAAGAGCATCCAGAAAATGCTGTTTCTCTGAACTTTTAGATATTGTAAAGTCAGAGGCCTAGAGCTGGCACTGTCCCTCTGAGAGACACT